CAACTGGAATTACCTAGCATTTGGTGGCAGTGAATTAATTAGGCAGCATAGAATTAATTTGGATTATCACCATATTAACAAGCTCTCTGGGAACCAATACTGCATTTTTACATGGTGTAAAGCAGGTCCATCATTCTTTTCTTGAGTTGGAGAATCAGAACCTGAAGTTGGTTTTACAGAATCACAGAATAGCCAAGGCTGGAAAGGATCTCTGAAGAATATCAAGTCCAACCACCCTGCCGAGCAGAGTTCCCTATAGCACGTTGTGCAGGATGGCAGGTTTTGCATATCTCCAGAGAAGGAGACTCCACAACCTCCCCGGGCAACCTGTGCCAGAGCTCTGTTACCCTCACAGTGAAGATGTGCCAGCTCCATATTCAGCTGGAACCTCCTGTGCTTCAGTTTGTGCCCATTGCTTCTCATCCTGTTGCTGAGCACAACTGAAAAGAGACTGGCTCCATCCTCTCGATTCCCTCCCCTCAGATATTTACGCACACTGATGAGGTCTCCCCTCAGTCTTCTCTTTTCCAGGCTAACCAGGCCCAGCTCTCTCAGCCTGTCCTTGTATGACGGGTGCTCCAGTTCCCCAGAGCCATTACGGTTTCAAACATTAACTGACCAGGAAACAATTAATAAAATTGACATTAACTTCCAAAGACAAACCAGTAACGAAACGTGCTTACTGTGAACTGTAGTCTCATTTTCCATGTGCCCAGACTTGTTTTGGCAGCTGTTTTAAGGGAGAAAAACTACATTATTTACTGTTATACAACACTCCAATTTCATTTGATAAAATTATAGAACAATAATGTGTAAAAGCATGCATGTTCCTAGATTTGCCTTTCTGGAAACTCAGGTACAGTTTGCCAAGGAAAAATAAATTAGCAACAAATGAAACTACAATATTTCAATAACACACTAGAAATGAATGAATAATTGTAACACATTTTACCAGTAATTAATTTATGTTGTCTTAAAGCTAAATGCTAAATCACAATAACCAGGAAAATTTTAAGAAAATATTCCCATTGACAACCTGACATATTATTTTCATTCCTCACTGAGATCCTACCTCCAATTACATAACTTTTGAGCCCTGATGGAAAACATTTTCAATAAAATCGCGTTCTAAAAATATTTTCCATGGAAATCCATTCTGAGCAATACATCTCAAGTGGAATTGTAAAAATAAATCAAAATGTATGTCTCTCAGTCTACATTAATGTGTTCTGTATTGAATTCATGGGCTGTGCATAAAGGGTTAATAATTAACATGACTTTCTTTAGTACATAGTTCATGAATAAGGAATATACTTTCTGCAAAGTGCTGATAGAGGTGTCTAATTGGGGAAATATACCATTTATACAAATTTAATTCTTTGTTATGTCCTATAAAATTTCTGCACAGAGGAAGGGAAGGGAAGGAAATACAAGTTTAGAGTGAAATCTTGATATCAAGCTAACTCTTAAATTACTGTAGCAAATGTTGCCTTTTGAAGAATTAGGGCTAAATCTTACTTTCCTTTAGTCATAAAAAGTTATAATAGAGTTCATGGGAAATCTACCATTGGTTTCAGTGAAAGTACAGACTCTGACACTTGCCTTTCACTTGAGTCCTTAGGAACAATGAGTGCCATTTAACTCTGTATTACTGTAATCAGTGCTCTCATTGTTAAAGGACCAGTGAGTGGAGAAAAGAAAATCCTGAGAGTTTTAAAGCATTAAAAAGATGATACTTGAAATAAAAAAAAATACACAAAAAGCCATTTGAACTTTCTCTTGCTATATGTCAGGACGATTTCAGCGGTGAACCAGAGTTCACAATAATTTCTATACTGCTCAACTTCAATACATATAGATAAAGGAAGTGTACACAGTTTCCTTGCCTTCACAAATGTAAATTTTGAACTTGTTTTGTACAAAAGATATTTGATCATCGACACTGTTTGTCCTGAGTAAATGCTTTGGTATCCAAGCCCGCTCCCATGGAAATCAACAAAACAATTGCCATTGGTTCAAATGGTGATGACCCAGGCGTTCACTGTGTAAGTATCTATAAAGGATGTTTTAGTATTAATATCCGTTAGTGTTTTCATCTATGGACATCTTGTACATAATGCTGAATGTTTGTAATTGCTGTTCTTTTCTATACAGAAAAATTACAGCTATTAAAAGGGTATGGGCATCTTGATAAAAGCAGTAATTTCAATTTCAGTACTATTTAAATGTTTGATTTAGATTATCTTTTCTCTTTCCACATAACTAATGATTGCAATAACTGGTGTTTAGACAGATGACATTAAACTTGATTTGTGTGATTAACCAGTACAAATTGAATCCATTACAGTTTTTACATTTTCTGTCACTTCTTTGGTACTGTGCTTAAGGGTAAGCACAAGGACAAAATGCTGTGTCTCAAAGTTCTTTCTTTACATATCTTCTTTTTCTAAATAAATTCAAATGAATTCTGTGTATTAACAAACAAGCTCCACATCACAACAGAAATGTGACTTTAAAAGAAGCGTGACTTGTAAATAACAAAAGAATAATTTTTTAAAGTGCTTATTGGTCAGAAGTTTTTTACTTAAATCAAGAATCCATCTAGAAACAATCTACATGACTCTGTACCAGTCTTCATATTCTCAAATTAAAGCTAAAATATCTAGGAAAGTAAGGGCTTACCTTTTTAAATTGCTTTTGCTTAAAATTTTTAATCATAAACAACATAGTGACAGTTTTGGTAAAATCACCCTTATAACCTTTGTTAGTTATTAATGAGTCTGCCAATAAATAACCATTCAAGAGCTTAAAATGATAAAATTTGGTTTATATGCTGCCCATTGTGTATTTTGAGAGTTGTATTTTTTGAATTGACACCCATGTCTTTGAATATAAAACAGTTAGCAACTGGCACATTGATCCAAGTAACGTATAGCTCATTCTACACTTTATAACATCTGTGTGTCCTCTTGATGACTTCAGCCTTTCTAAGACTAACAAGTGAATTTAGGATTTATAGGTGCGAAACAGCATGGCTGCTTCAGCTGCCAGTCTTTATTCATGACTTTAATAATAGGAAGTGTAATAAACAATGTAGGTTTATAACTGTACATTTTAATTATAGTTTCTGAAGGTTTATTTAATCAGGAGAGGTAATCAATGCTTCTTCTGATTTGAAATTTTTAAATTTGGTGCCAGACACTACTGAGTTATTCACTAAGCAGACAACTTTGCTCCTTTCATCAATGATTCGTGAAAGAGTTGACAGCTTGCGTGTTAAGGCAATCTGAGCTTCAGTCTAACAATCTGATTCGTTGGCTGAGTAGATTTACTGCATCTTGGTTTTCTTGATAAATTCTATGTGAAACACAATACAAGCTGCCCTAACAACATCTTTATCTACATGAAAAAAATTATATTGCTCCAGGTGGAAAGGGAAGGAGTCTAAGAATTTTGTAATGAAACTAAGAATTTTGTAACGAAAAGTTAAAAGTTAGCACAGTTTTCATCTGAAGTTTTTAAATCTGCAGATAAGCTGTAATAAAATTAAGAAGTGATATTTTGCTTTTGGAAAGTCTTCATTAATTTTGAACAAAGATATTAAACGATTGTATCTCACTAGCATGTGCTGTATACACAAGGAAATTGAAAGTCCTTGCTTACTATACTCAGTGAATATAACTGCAAAGGCTGAAAGAGATAATTAAATTATAAACTTTAAAAAAAAAAACAAAAAAGAAGCATAAAATGAAATTATGGATTATAGGGTAGATATAAAATAAATGTTATGTTTATTATAGCTTTATTTCCTAGGGTGAACAGTGCATCATTTGTTGTCCTAAAAGGATTTTTCACTTTTGAAGTACCGAGATTTTTAGGCAGGTTTAAAATCTCAACCCCCTGTTTAATTACCGAAAACTCATGCTTTCTTGTATTTTCATTGAATTAGATAATTACATTTCTTCCTATAGTTTATAAAGAATGGTTACATATTTTATAGTAACTGCAAGTCTCTGAGGTACTTTGTCTACATAATATTGCCTATGTGTCTTTTATTTGTGAATTTTACAGATTCTGGCCAACAGTGTGCCTCATAATGTTATCTATACATACACTGTTCCTTCTGACCCAAGAACAAATGCAGTACAATTTAAATTTCTACTAAATTTCAATGGTAATACAGAAAACATTTTTTTGATTTCTTTAGAATACACAGTTACTTGAAGTCATTTATTGTTTTGATGAGTGACAAAACTATATTTTGAAAAAGGTCCACCTGAACATAAATCACAAGACATAATTTTGTATACATATTAACAGTAGTCAATATTGACTGAAGTAGTAGTAACTACTGAAGTAGTAGTAACTGACTGAAGAAGTCTGTTAAATTGATTTCAGTAATGATATCTGGATATCTGGAAATATTTTGATGTTGGACATACCTTATGACTTATGTTGCCTTTTAACACAAAGAAAACCAAGAGCAGAGCGCCATTCTCTTGCAGATTTCATGAGCAGCATCACTGGGATGTTGAGACGAGTGTTTTATTTATTCCTCTCTAGTTTGATACAGACATTGCAGACAGCCTTAAGGAAGATGTAGGTGAATGCTGGGAAGATTGGTGTAAAACAGCATGTTTTAACAGTTTGAGGCAAATCTTCATTATGTTGGATGGTTTCCTTGGAGGTTTGAGTTTAATGATGCTCTACCCTGGAGTTTCTGTGTAGAAAATGCCTCAGAGCTCTCCAATCTAAAATGACTCATGAAGAGAAGTAAGATATTGTGCATAGGATTTTTTAATACCCTACACCTCTCAGGGTGTCTGTTGGTTATTAATCTGCCTGATCTCCAGGAATTAATTTCAAGGCTTTAAGGGAGAAAGCAACAAGAATTATAACAGTAGTACAACTTCCTTGAGGTATCCTGAATCTCAGAAGGATTTTACACCTTTTCTTAAAGTACTCTGAAAGATAACATTGACAAAGATAACAAACATGGATAAGGAAATTCAAAGAACTTAGGTTTATTCAGCAGTAGTTTGGAGATAAATTATTTACAGCCACTGAACTGAGTTAGTTATTTCAGATGAACATGGTGACGGACAAGCAGCTGGATCCCAAAGAATCAGGCCACGCTCCCACTTGGAAGGAAGCATGGAAATTTTGAAAACTGCAGAATTTGAACAGATATCAGAAACTAAGGAAACTAAACTCAAAGTTCTAAGAGTTAGGTGAACAATTTAAATGTCTGGACAACCAACTACACTTCCATTTTGACTTGATTACAGAAACTGAAATTTCTCCATAGTTCATCTTCTAGCATCAATTACACTCCTTTCAGAGCACTAGTCATAAGTAACAAGAAGGGCATATATCAGTTCATATAAAAAGCATGTGAGAAAAAGGGATTTAAAATGGCAGCTCTATATTTTTTAAAACTGTCCTAGTATCAGTGATCTCTGACGATATAATGACAGTTATGGAAAGCTTTTAGGAAAAAATACATCTAAACCAGTAAGTACTGACAGGAAAGAATACTCCAATCATCAGAAGGACATAGAACTGCCACCAAGACAGATAAATTTCACATGCTTACTCTGTGCAGACTGACATACAGATTTTGAGTCCCAAGATTTTAACTCCATCATGACATAGCAAAAAGAGTTTTTACATCAGACGTTGTTTTAGCAATAAATTAATGAATAATGCCAATGAAGAAAATTTGTAATAAAGAAAAAATAATTAAAAAGAGACTTGAAACTAAAATCAAAGAAACTAGATCAGTGCAAACTGTTTTATGACATGATGTTCTAATGCATGACTCTGCATTAGAATTAGGACCGCAGAATTAAAAATAAAATAAAATAAAATAAAATAAAATAAAATAAAATAAAATAAAATAAAATAAAATAAAATAAAATAAAATAAAATAAAATAATAAAAAAAAGCAGAGTTGGAGATTTTAGGGCTACTACATACTCTCGGATATTAAGGTTCCACACATAGTGTACATATCCTCTTGTTCTTCCATCCAAAAATAGCTTTCAGCCCTAAGAAAAATAAATAAATCACTCAATTTCTGCTACAGAATGCACAGATATGCCACAAACAGAATCAGGCAAGCACCTGAGGGAAAGCACATATATCCACAATTCTTTAGGGAGTATATCAAGATTCATAGCTCAATGTCACAGTAAAAGGAAATGCAGATTCTTTTCTATCAAAAGACTTCATCATATTTAAGATATTGTTTGCATTATGGAAGAACTTCTGGCAATAACCACAAAGAAAAATTGTTTTATTCAATTTTATTACTGCTGGGGATTTTTCCATTATGTAAACAGTACCTCATAGGTATTCAGGCATCTCAAGCCTTGAAACAGCTTTGAAAGCAGACAGCAACTGATTTGGCTGCATGCAAACTCTTCATATAAATGTCTTGATAGTTATTATTCTAAGAAGCACATTGCCTCTGTCTTTGCCTGCACAGACTGCAAATTGTGTGAAAAGTAATGAAAAAGCCTGAGAAGTTGCTGGGGGGACATCCAAATTTTTCAGACCTTTTTGAATTCATGGAAAAGCATTTGGGCTAATCCTAGAGATGTGCTTGCTATTCTAAACTGTTCCAAACGTCTTCTTAAAATAGTAATAAGAATTTAACTCTGGATTTAGATATCATTATATATATCAAAATATCATACGCAATTAACAACAGTCAGTATATCCTACGTAATTTGGTCTGTGTTCAAATTAAACCAGGCAGAGCTTGCTGAAATGACTAGTTTTTGCTATGACTGGGTACATTTAAGCACTTGCTTGCAGTGAATAGCTGTGCTACCATTATTTGGATATCATATATGTCCAGCTTTTACTATTTGGGCTGAAAAAAACAGAAGAGTCAATTCATAACACAAAAAAGGCAATTTGATCCCCAAGTTATTTTTTTCCAACAGCACACAAGGTTGAGATGACAAGACTCTTAACACTTCATTAATTAGTCATCATGCTTTAGCAAAACATGATAATAACTAATTTCTTACATTTTTGTTCATCTTTTTTTTTTAATTATTATTTACTTTAGATTGCTTTCTTATACTGTATACTATTCATTTTTTTCCTTCCAGATGCTTAAAGATTTTTATTTTGATGCCTCTCCTGGGTAAAGAATCTACCAGGTTGTTAGTTACCTCATTACTCCCTATATAACAAAAAATCTCGTATATGGAAGGCCCCTTTTTCTTTTCTTAGCTGCACTCCAGAGATGCTGTGAGCACCTGCAACTTCTGTTAATTTCCTTGGGTATTGCAGGTGTTCAACAGCTCTAAGGATTGAACCTACCGGGACTAAATAAATATGAGAAGCTCGTACTGGATTCATGGAGCTAACAAGGACTGAGAGTCCTAAAATAGACAGTAGTGAACTTACTACTCTACTAAAAAAGCATTTCTTCCAAGTGAATACATCAAGAGAGATGTGGCTTATTAGAAAAATATCCTACTTCTCCTTTATTGAATGACCATGTTCACAAGCTCTCATTATATTTTGCAGTCTGAAAAAGATTTATTCCTACTAAGATCTGAATCTCAGTTTGATTCTTATGGCTATTACTTTCACTATAGAATTCATATACAACATTTTCTTGTTATTCTCATCTTCTGCCCACCAAAGTTGCACTCTTCCTTTTCTTCTTTATTCAGTATTTTATTATCTATTTGTTGTCCTTTATTTATTTATTTATTTATTTATTTATTTATTCTATGCACTGGTAGTTAATTATGTTTTATATTCAGTGGAAAATTCTAGTAAAAGCACTAGAAGTTACAATAGAAAATTTTCTCTTTTTTAATTGATTGAACATCTGCAAGTTTATTGAGGCAACCCATTGAGATAAAGGCATCAACAAGTAAGTTTCCCACTCATGAAGTCAGTACAACCAGGCAGAAACTGCCTAGCAAGTTTCCACTCACCAAAGATTTATATTTATACCCAACACATTTGGCCCAGATAATAGCTTTCTGATAAAGCCCAAGGATTAGAGAGTGAACCCCAGCACAGCAACTGATTCTTAAACATTGGCATCCACTGGACTAGAGCACACACAGTTTCTTGCCTGTCAGGCTAGGAACATGCCTGAAGGAAGAAAGGGTTAATATAAAACCACTCTGTGGGTATTTTTTATCTAGACTCAGAAGGTTCTAGTCTCTGCAAGGTTGCTCTATAACAAGCTGCTTCTGATGACATGAAGAACAGAGAAGTACAAAGTCTACTCACGTCTTGTCTACAGTACAGGTTAATTTTCTGCTTAAACTAAGAAATCCAGAAAAGAAAAAAGCAAGGCTAGTCAGAGACTGCTGATGCCAGCCATTGGAAAAAATTGTAAGTTTTATAAAAGAATTAACTTGTGATTTAAAATATCAAGATGACAGGTATCAATAGATAATGCCTTAAAAGGAAGAAATATTTACATTATTTTAAAATACTCATCACATAACATAGCTCATAACTTTTATAATAAAGCCAAATGTTCAACATTATTTAATAACTGCCATGAGGAAACAGTGGTATTTATAAAGGAGGTACGGCTCACTATTTATTTCTCATGATTCACAGAGGCATTGCATTTTTTATTTTTGCAGCTGAGAAGTAAATAGTTGGCAAACACTTCAGTATACTTGAGGAATCAATTAAAAACAACATTGAGAAAATAGCAGTATCAGTTCAGAGCTTTCAACCTATCTGCAATTTGCTTCCTCTTAAAAACATGACTATTTCTTCAGAGCAATAACTGCATAGCATCTGGGGGATTTCACAGGATCAAATAACTTCACAAGTCCTGACCAGGCAATGTTGTCCTGTAAAATGATATATGATTGAAGTACATTAAAACGTGTTTGACTTAAAAGTTAAGGCACGGTAATAGGTCCACATTTTGAAATGCAAAATCACCAAAAAAAAGATTATTCTTAACGCAAAGCAGAAAAAACACTTATCTAACAACACAACTATTGAAGATTTGTTGTGAAAAAGGGAAACAAACAAAAAAAAGTATGTATATTAAAGTCAGTTTACTTCTGTCACTATCAAACGACACCTTATCAACCCTTTAATCAATAAAGTTGTCTTTTTTTTTCTTTCTTTTTCTTCTGGTTGAACAAGAGAGAAGATACTAAAGATCAAGTTCTACTTGTTTTATGCAGCACATTCTACTACTGAAGCTAATTAACTGATTTTTCAAATGAGTAGGGCCAGCTGGATCTGGTCTTCATGTTGCATATGGCTTTTATCATTTCTATTTTTTCTTCCTAAACATATTTTGTGAATCAACCAGTACAAGATTGAATCAATGGGTATATTACATTTAGAAAAGGTAAATTAGCTCTAAATGCACAAAGTCTGATCTTCCATCCTGGAAATCGTACAGATCTCTGTGTGACTTATAACTGGTTGGCATTTGGGAAAATATATCATTATTTAAATATCTCAAATTGCTTCTCAGTAAAAATACCAGTTAGAATAAAAGCATACATTTGCTACAACTCAGTTGTTCCAAGTATACTGTGGTAGAGAGGAAAGTGATTTTTTACTTATGATAAAATGGAGCTATTAAAATGAAAGCTTTATAGTGGAAGAACAGTAATTCACATGAATGAATTTAAACTTTATTTTAAAATTTTATTTTGACTGTGGCCGGGCAGAAGCTGGAAAATGCTACCATGTCTTCTGATCACATTGTTACTTATCCAAAAAATGTCTGCTGGTGTAGAGATAGTGTGATTGATGATTCTAAGTTATCCAGGTCAAGCTCAAAATTAGTGTTAGTAGAAACACTGTAACATAAATCATTACAGAGTAAATATAGAAGCATTTGCTTATTAAATCCCACATCTATATTTGTAAAATATATCCAGGCTGTATGCTAGTCAAATATACTGCAGTTGACCCATACAGTTGGAAAAAGTGTACCCTCTCTTATCATAGATCTTAATTAAGAAATGATAACAACAACCTAATGGGACTTAACCTAAAATTTCTTTAATTATATGTTCTAAAACTTATTCTTTGGAAACTCCAGAATGTACGGTATAATGTTTGTTTAGCATTTCCATTTTTTTTTTTAATTATTAAATATATGTCGTATTAAAAAAAAATTCTTGCATATTTAAATTATTTATTTTTGTATTGTTTATTGACTTGTAATTACCATACAATTAAAAGAACATAAGTTTTACTGTTGCTGCTTTGCTGAAAATAAAAACATCTGCTGGGCATATGTTTATACTAAATTGAATGAATGCTTATACTTTTGCAAATATGAGAATAATAATTCTGCAACAGAGACTTTTGGTCTGTGCAGTAATAAATTGGCTGAAATAGTCTCATTTCACTGAGGTAGCCTTTAGGTACCATAAAACATAATGCAAAAATACCTGCTCCTTGAGGTAGCAAAGACGATCCAGAAGTATCAAAACTTCTATGCAGGGAGCCAGCACGACCTTTAACTGAAAGAAAGATTAGATGCTGTTATGATCTGGGGAAAGAGAGCCAATACACTTCCCAATGGCTACACTTCCACAAAACAATTCCAGGAAGGTCAATCATTTTCTAGTAGTTGTACAAATGTCACCTTGCCAATTTTCCCTGTGGGGTGGACATCTTCTAAACAGATTATATTAAAGATCAAAAATACATGGAATGCCATAAAGCTAGGAAACTACGTTACTTAGTTGGTTTTGAGGCACTGTCCAACAAGAAAATGATATTATATGAAGCAGAACAATTTTAAAGAGGGAAATAATGAATTTTAATAAAAAGAATTTTTATGAAATAACTGTGTGGAGACCAGTCTAGGTTTAAAAGGAGACTGACATTTCATTTTCCAGGGTAATAGTCCCTCTTGAAAAAGAATCTTCCATGTGTTCACTTTATTATTTTACTGACACCTAATATAGTTTTGAATAGGATATGCTCCAAAGTTTGGAAGGGGGAGCTGCTTTGTTTTTGAGATTGCATACCTCAGTGTAAGACAGTCCACCTCCACATAAAACTTAACAGGGCTTTGTTCTAGACTAGCATATATATAATACAAGGTAATGGTATTAATCCTATAACTTTTACCATATTAAATGCTTCAAGCTCGTTCATTCTGTGCTTGTATTTTTCATAGTAATCCATTATACAGCTGTCTGGGAGCTGCAAAGGATAAAAAAAAAAAAAGTATCAGAGTCATTCCAGTTTTGAAATATGAAACATTTTTTTCCTAATCAAAAGTCATCCTACAAATGAAATCTGTGTTTTGTTTTTAAAATTAGCAATTTACTGAGGTCTATAATAATTTTCCAATAGCAATTTCTCAGTTCTCATTTACAATTACTGTTCTTCAGATGGCATTTTGCACTGACATGAAATACTGAGATATATTCATTATTCAGAAAGCTCTAGTCGTTCTTTAATGAACATTGCACAGCCAAATGGAGATAATATTCTCATTTCCTTTCCCATATATCTTATACCTTGCACCCCCCAGCCCAAGAGATATATTTAAATGGCTGAAGAGTGGAGTCTAGTGTCAGAGTATCACGCTTAAGTCAGGACTCCTGGATGGTATTTCGCATTAAAGAACCTACTGTCAGATTCTGGAAATAACAGTTTCACTGTGTCACAAGTTACCCACCTCTGAAATAAAAGTTTCTCTGTTTAATTTAAACCACTGCATGTTTCCCAATTACTTGATTCAACACTGCCAGCACTGACATTGTAACCGCAAATTTTGTGACTTTGGGCTGATTTTGATCCAAGGCAGCTCAAGAACTTGACTATACCAAATACCCCTTCCCCTTTCAGCCCTTAGTGGCCACTGCACCACAGCAGGTAGCTAGGCCTATGACCATAACTGCACTCACAAAGTATTTTCTCTAAGGGCAGCTGGACCACAACATTTCCCAGGCTTTGTAGGTCCTGATGTCTCTACCCTTCTGATGTCCACAGTCCTGGATGCTAAAGAAGACAGATGAGCTGTCCACTTAAGAAGCCTGTCAGAGGAGTGGGAAGTAGGTCTGCAACATTACTGGTGACAGAGGGTGCTGGAAAGAGTGGGGGTGAAAGAGCCTGATGTATTGGCCTGATGCATTTCAGTATTGGGTGTCTGCAGTATGGCTACTCTGTTGTGGTTATGGAAAGAGCCCACAGCTTAGCAGAAAAGTAATGCTACTGACAAAAGACCAGGAAATATAAAGTGTCTAATACATTTTTGCACACTTTTATTAGCTAAGTCATCTGAGAGCACGTGGCTAATCCAGTCATAAAGGAATAAAATAGCTTAAAATAGGTAAACAAACTATAGAATATTTACATAACTTGTAAGTTTTAAAATCAGGTATGTATTATGAACTTCATCTTACGATAAGCAAGAAGAGAATGAAATGACCTCAGAACTATTACTGTCACTATTACTTTGAGAAGTTCTCAAAGATGGTGTGTCAGATTGCTAGTAGATGTGTGTCTGTCATTGTAGAGCAGTCTGATCCAACCCATTAAAAAATGCAAAGAATTAAAAAACACTAAACAGATAAGTAATGAATTTGTCAAGAATAAATCACAAGTCAGCCTGCTTGTAAGAAGGGTGGAAGGATTCATGTTAGGGAAAACCAAATGTCATATATTTTGACTTCAGCAAGGGTTTTGCACCATTTCACATAACAATTTCAACACCCAATATAAGAAACAAGATTTAGATTAAAGTATTATAAAGTGCGTGAATATTGTTTGGATGACCATAACCAGAGAGTTGTTATTAATGAGTCTCCAAAAAACTGAAAATACAGACCTAGTGGAGGTCTGTTAAAAAAAATGCAGAATGTTTTCATTAAGAACTCAGATAGAACAGAAACCACATTAACTAACTCTGCAAATGTGCAGCAGGAAAGTACAGAATTGCTAGAATTTAAATAATTTTTAGAAATTGGATCATTGCTTAGAAAAGTGTTTGAAGTGCTATATGGAAATGCAGGGGAGACTACACTCAGGCATAAATAACAAGCGGTTCCCTATGAAGAACTCCAAATGACAACCTGGGAGATGTAGCAGATCACAAGCTGAGCAAGAGTCACAGTTGTACTACTGAAAAAAAAAAAAAAAAAAAAAAAGCAATCACCATACTGCGACATGTATGGGAGAACAGCTTGGACAAGCAGGAAGTAATCCTTCAACCCTGCTTGGCAATGGTAAAGCTCTAGCTGGAATGCTGTATCCATTCTGGTGCAGCAGATTTCACAGAAATAAATGAGCTATTTGAAAAAAAAAAAATAAAAAATAAAAAAAAATAAAAAATAAGAGAGAAAAGAGATCAGAAATCTAGAAAATAGGACCTGTGAAGACAGATTGACAGAACTGGAACCGATGAGTGTAAAGAAGAGAAAATCAAGAGCGGGCATAATACCAGCTTTTACAAAGCTGCCACCAAGAGTTAAGGAAGGTTGTTCTCTACATCTACAGTGGGTAGAAAAAGAACTCATGAACTTGCATTGCAGCAAAGAAAATCAGTCAAAAACTTGAAAAAAAATTATCTCTGTGAGGTTAATTCAGGACGGGGGAGGTTTTAAGTCACCATCATGGAAAAGTTTAAGAAGTTTAGATACATTTTTCAGGAATGATGCAAAATTCTAGCTCTGCCTTAAAAGAAAGGGAGGGGTTAGAAGAACTTTTGTAGCCTTTGACTCTTTTTTTTTTTTTTTTCTTTCTTTGTTTTTAATTTAAAAAGAACTTTTTTTTCCCAAATACAGCAGCAAGGCTGAGAAGTTGATCTGACAGTACTAATGCACTGACTTTTTTGGTCTTGTTGATATTTTATTTCCAGTAAAGCTGTGCAAATATCGAAAGATCCAAACCAACTAAAATACATCAGTCATGAGATAAACAAAATAGTTTATTTGACCTCTGCTCTATAAGCTTTTCATTTCAACTGAGAATTAAAAGCATTTCAGTATAATGGATTTTTGAAATTATAGGCTATTTGGATTAAAATATAAAGATCTGCATTTGTAAAAATATGAACATTAAATCTTTCTCCTTTTGCATCCTTTATGTTCTCCAATTTTCAACATGAAACATTCCAATCAACTGTGAAATGTTTCACAAATAAAAAGCTGGGTCAAAAATGTCTCCTAGCTGTAGCCATACTCAAGTACTGAGCCCAAATGCTTTTGCACTCCCTCCTTGCTTAACACATTTTGACAGAATGCATCCTGCTGTCATGGGTAGATTAGGTGGTACTCCAAATTGTAGCTCAACTGAAAGTTTGGTTTGTGACCCAGCTGAATATAACAGGCCAGATGAAAACAAGAGAAAGCGTCTGCAAAAAAATACATTGATAGAAAAGGGCATTAAAAGGAAAATGGTCCTTAGCTCTGTGGTCAATTGACTGGAAGAAGATCAAAACTTGGATTATGGTGGTTTTGTTTGAAACTGCAACAGTTTGCTACCTGGCTTCAGTACTTCCTAGGCACCCAACAGAATCTTCAGCTATCCCTCTGAGGTGAAGTAGGACCAAATTATTTGTTGTGTTTTCAGGAAAAGATTGGACTTACATATGTAAAACAAGCCCCATTTAGCCACCAGAGTTGTGTGTGTAACTCTTCTCCATAGAAACTTGCCACAGATTTGTCTATATATATATATATATATATATATAACTTTAAATACATGTACAAAACTTACATTATGATGCTGATACTACGAACTCATGGCATGACTTAAAATGCATGAAAGAAACTAAATACAATATCATGCCCTTGTCTTAATAAGACACTCAAAGACCTAGATTATGCTACTGATGTTGTAGTAAGGAAGACTCAATGCATACGGAGCTTTTTTGGCTAGTGTACCTTAGTTGATTTAGCTCCTGATCTTTACCAGGTTGTGAACAAAAGTGCCTCTCTGCACCGTGATGGTGGTGCATCCTTTCTTTTAAAGTAGTTTATTTGTGTGATGGCTGAAACAGCCAAAACAACCAAGAGTAACTAGAGGTCAGTGAGATTCCCATTGTCCTAGTTATAACAATGCCACATGCTGGAGGTGGCACATACAATAGACTCATCTGTAGTGAGCATGAGGAGGCTGTCAACAGATCCTTGAGAGCAACTGAGGCGCTGCATGCTTGAGCAGACCCAGGTTATACTGGAATCTCACAAACATGCTGATTGAGCACACTCTGAAAACAGAACATGCAGGCACAAGGTGGGTGACAACTAGTAATCCCACACTTAAAACTTCTCTAGAGAGTGTTTTTTTTTTTTTTTTTTTTTTTTTTTGAAGCTGTGACTTTCCCTAGGCTAAAAAAATTATGACTGAATTAAAGAAAGCCTCTTTTACTGCCCAATCTGCACTCTCTCTACAGAAGAGAGCCAGATTCTAGAGACCCTGCACACAGTCAAACAGATATAATGCTCTTTGCCACCTCCATGGGACTGTTTACCCCTGTGCTGGTTGCACATTTCCATGTTTCCTCTCTCTCCTTGCAGCAGTGCTGTCATGAACACTAGCAAGAGTACCAGAAGCTAATAAGGCAACCCTTTTAGCTGAGCAGTGTCTTAGGTCAGTTCAAAATGCTTGAGAGGCCATACCAGACAACAACTTTTTACAATTTTCCAGTGACTAAGGTAGTTAAAATATATCTTCCTGCTTCTCAAATAATGTAATTACTGAGAAGCCTTTGTTTATTTAGAATTTCATTTGAAACGCATTTCAAATAAATGCAATCTATATCATTTATAATTGTATCTAACTGAAGTAAAAGTCACACTTCTTAAAATTACGCCTCAGACTAAAATGTTATGCTGCCATAATTGGGACAGCATTTTGCCTGTTTCAAAAATAATTATACTTGAAAACAGCATTATGCAGAGTATATATGCAGTGTATATTTTATACACTTGTGTTACCCACGTCTTCATTCAGTATTTCCCAAACAAATGAACTTCAGAGTTTGAGGTTTTCACTGTCATTTAAAGACCTCAACACAGAATTTGGTGGGGGGTAGACATCAAGATCCTTCACAATTATAAGAAATCTCATTTTAAAAGTCCCTTCCTTTTCTGATTTCTGCAAAAATTCTCATTTTACTTCCAATTATAGTTATATATATTCAAGTTAGTTCATGTCTGATGTACTATGCAATTCCACTACTGATAGTTCCC